TATGTTGCTATTCACAGCTTTCAATATTCACAGATTTCAATATTACGGTTTCATTGAAAAAAAATGATGGTGGTGTAGCTACGTTTCCTTCCCAGGTCAGGATCCCTCACATTCAGCGTTTCTCCCGCAGCATCGAATTGAGATGATATTGTGTCACCCAAGCAAGGTCAGGAATGCGCTTTCCTCTTCCCACACTGAAAAAAAAAAGGCTGAGGGAATTGCAAGGGGAAATTGCCTCACTTATTTCTGGCCCTGAAGATGTGCAGCTGGCCCTACTTTCTTCCTTAGAGCTATAACTGTTTATGGTATAAAAAGCAGGATCTGGTGTTCCCCAGCAACATCAGGGGCTTAAATCTTTATTTAACGGTGCCCTGTACTGAACCTTTGAGTAACATGTACAGAGTAAGAGTTACAAGGGGAATGATGATCCAGAGCTATTAGGAGGAATACTGCTAGATCTTAGTATATTTTGTCTGTGGGACACGACGTGAGGAGAATGGTACTCTCTGAATAATGAAGGCATAAACTCAATTAAGCGTGCTGTTCAAAAAGGCATTGGCATGGGAAAGTTGGTGTAATAACAACACGAAATGATGGATGCAACATGTGGTCATTGCCCTCAACATCAGGGTAAATGAGAGTCCAAACAGTGATGTCCAGCACAGGAGATGCGGGCGGCGTGGTGAACTGCCTGGGGGAGCGGAGGAGCTCCTGTACAGTGCTGCAAAGTGTGTTTATGGTGAGCAGATGGATCTGGGGTTGTGCTTCAGTTCGGTGGCCTTCACACGGTCCATCTCCCCACTTATGCTGTAGCACCTTCTGGCCAAAGCCCACCAGGGTGTCCCAAGGGACCAGGCATGGTTCATGCTGGGGCTGGGAGCTGCACGTGAGGACACGTGAGGGACCACATCGGCTGCAGAGCTCTTGCAGTTCAGTGAAGCCCTTTAGGGCATGCGTGCACCTGCTTGACTTTGTGAGCTAAAATAAGAGAAGGGAAGGCTGACGAGGCTGCTGTTAGAGACAGGCACTGCCGGCAATGGGCTGTGTCTGCCAGTGTGCACGTG